CAGTATATTCCTTCCATCTTCTTTTAATACTTCCTGGATCATTTAATATTCTGCCCAAAGCATCCTTGATTACAGCAACTCTAGGTTTGAATTTCAACTATACCAACTGTTAATCTTCTATTTTTAAAAATTACCCTAACTGATCAATCACTCAAAGGTAATAAGTGATCAGCAGAAGTTTGGAGGGGGAAAAAATCACTTTTTGTGGTGGGACCCACAAAGGCTGTATTGTCAATATTACTGTTACTGCAGTTCTATAACACTTTCAGGGTGGCTTGGTAGTAAGGAATTGGGTTGCCAAACCAAAGTCACATAGCTTGAATCCAGCAGCGACTCTGCAGGAGAAAGATGGGCAATCTCCTCCAGTGCAATTTATTGCTTCTGAAAACCCACCGGAGGCTCAACTGTGCGTCAATTGTAACTTGATGGTACATCATAACAACACACTCCCCTTAAGTTGTCATTGTCCATCTATAATCAGTAAATATGCCTATAAAAGGAGGAAATAAGCAAAATATCACCCATTAATGTAGAAAGAAATGAACCCCACAGCTCATTTCAACTATCATTCTCACCTTACCAACAATAAGCACTGCTGACGTGAATGCTGAACAAATACTATGAATTTGGAAGGATGAGCAGGAAAGTTAATTACAGAAATTTGATTCTTTCACTTAAGCCCACAAGTGTCTTCGCCAAGTTTTTGTTTTTAACTGGTCTGTATACAAGCACTCCAACATACAAAAACAGCATTTCAGCATTAGGATAGGAAGACTAATTAACAACCTGCATTCAGATAACACAACTTTGCTTAGTGAAGAACAAAGACTTGAGCATTTACTGCAAGACTGAAGCCTGCAGTATGGATTACACCTGAACATAAAGAAAACAGAATCTTCCCAAGTGCATCCTGAAGCAACATCATGATAAATGGATAAATGACTGACGTTGTCAAGGACTCAGTCAATGTTTATGGAAGTTACAGTTAAGAGATCAAACAACATACTGGAGTAGAAATTTGTTGCAAAGAATCTCTTCAAAGTGCCAGTGCAAAGGTGGCATGAGGAGGGGTAAGGTGCACTTGACTCACCCGTATTCTCAGTTGCTTCATATACAGGTGAAAGTTGGATAGTGAATAAGTAAGATCAAGGAATTGATGCTTTCAGCTGTGATGTTTGCAAAGAATATCTTGGACTGCGATGGGGGTGGGAGAGGTACAGGGGCAAAAAAAGGAGAAGGAGAAATTCATTGGGACAGAGGTGGGTGGAAGGGAGTGTGAAGGAATAAGAAAGGTTCAATAGACTTGAAAAGACAGGGTGATAATAGGCATAGATCAATGGTAAATAAGTATATAAAATAAAATCTATATGAATAATTGTATAAAACACAAAGTACATGCACAAAACACAATATCTATGAACAATTGCATGCAATCAAGAACAAATTTTTTAAAAAGAACAAATCTGCTTAGGAAAAAAGTGTGGCTAGAATTGTCTTTGGAGACAAGGACATGGCACCTTTATTTTACATACTTTGAGCATGTTGCTGTTTTGTACTATCAAGTCAGAATCAACTCAGAACTGACCCTCCAGGGGGTTTTCAGATAGTAAATTGCACGAGAGATCACCTATCTTTCTCTCTCAGAGCAGCCGTTGTTTTCAAACCACGTGCCTTTGTGTTGGCAGAACAACTCCTGACCACTATGGTACCAAAGCTCTCATCTCTATTGTTGTCATTGTGAGGTGTCATTAAGTAGTTTATGCCTCATAGCGACCCTCTCAACAGATCTGAACCCTGCCCTATCCTGTGCCATCCTTATCATCTCTGCAACACTAGAGCCCACTGTTAAATCACTGTGTCAGTCCATCTCATTGAGGGCCTTCCCCTCCATCTCTGATCTTCCACTTTTCTGAGCATGGTGTCCTTTTTCAAGGACTAGCCTCTTTTAACAATCTGCCCAAAGTTTGGGAGATGAAGTTCCACCACCTTTCCCTCTAAAGAACACTGACTATACCCTCTCCAAAACATATTTGTTTGTTCTCTTGTCAGTCCATGGAGTAATCAGTACTTTCCCCCAGCACCACAACTTAAGGGCATCGACTCTTCTTCTGTCATCTTTATTCACTGTCCAACTCGTATATGTACATCAAGTAATTGAAAAGACCGTGGCTTGCTGGATCAGGCTATCCATTAAGAGGGGCCAATCCCTGAAGAAAGACATCATGCTCAGAAGAGGGTCAGCAAAGAGAAAACCTTCAGTGAGAAGGGATGGCCAAGTAACTGAAACTATGGATGGATTATGAAGATGTTGTAGGATTAAGCAGGGTTTTGTCCTGTTGTACATAAGGTTGTCACAAGTTAGAATCAACTTGAAGTCACCTAACAGCCACAATACACCTCAGTTGTTTCCCTCAATTTTTTTTTCATTGTGATTTTAACAAAAATTTAAAGTTGGATTTTCATTCATTCATTGTTACACATTTTCCTCCCAACTCCATCCCTAGTTCACTTAAAAAAATCATTCATTGTTGCATAATTTCCTCCCTCCCCTCCCAGTCCACTTTACTATGCAGCTCTTATTCTGGACTGTTGTGATACAGATGCCTAATCAAATATTCCTTTTAAACAGTTTTTTTCCTTCATCTGTTCCACATCATTTGAACACCTTTAGAAAGCACAGAGTTGGGTATACTAATCTATTATGCTGCTGAGGATACACCAAACATACTCCCAACCATGTCTACTCTGAAAGATTTTAAAGCCTTAGAATAGTTAATGGGAAAATACTAGGTTAGAAATGAGAGCTCAGTTCTAGACCAGGATTCATTCCAAGCTCCTTGACAGACTCTCAGCAGGTCACTTAACTTCTCTAGGGCTCAGTGTCCTCATCGGCAAAACAATGATTGAGCTAGAGAAGACTTTCAGTCATGAAATTCCACAGTTCTCTTCAGGAGCCAACAGCTAATTTATAGAGATTAACAGCAAAAGTAGTAGCCAAAATAAATATAGCAAGGAATCTATGAACCAAGTTCATGACTTTTACTTAGCAATAAAGAAATGTACTCTCTTTCAGGTTTTCCACAATCCCCTACTCCCCACTGTCTTGCAACATCCTGTTCCACATGGTTTCTCCCCTTCCTGGTTACTGCCTTCCTAAGGGTCTTATCCTTTAACTCCTTAAAATCTCGGTATGAATACTCATCCAAAATATCAGCTCATGGCGACTCTTCATTGGGTCTCAGAGGCTGTAAAGTTTTACAAGAGAAAACTGATCGTTCTTCTCCTGCAGGGCAGGTAATGGATCCAAACTGTCTGCCTATTAGCAGCCTGATGTTTTACATACAATGACACTTGTTATTGTTCTGACTTACAACTGACCCTCCAAACCCTAAACAGAAAACTAAGGCTGCTTCTTAGATTCTATTGCTCAGAGATATCCTCCTTAGGCTGCACAGTTCTCAGTCACCCTGATGCTACACCTTACTTATTAATGACAACAGTCATAATTTTGGATGATTTTCAATATGACAAGAGACTGTAAATTATTAAATAAAGCATTAAGAAACTTTCATGGAATAAAGCTCACTATTATAAAATTTTGAAGTTCCATATTTAGGAATGATCATACTAATGATTTTAATTTTAATTATGCAGAAGCCTACATTGTTTCTAAAGCAGTTCACCTGCTGCCTTTGATAAAAGTCTCAGACAACCAAGGTTGACAAAACAAAATACTCAAGGAAATACTTTCTATTTTGTAGGAAAAACTTTCCACCTTAAAAATATAATGATAAAAGATTTACTTTACACACTTTCTATTTCTTACCTCCATAGGCTTTCTGCTGTCAAGGAATCCAAAATCACAGCAAGAATGTGCCTTAAGTTCCTGTATTTTAATTCTGTTAAGATGTCCAGTTTTTCTACACCCATTTTCTTGCCAATCAATCCTGCAAGTAAACACTGTAATACTGCTATTTTCCCTCCATCTCCTTGTTCCAGGCACTCATGAGTCCCGTCTTGTTGGAATCTTTTCTTTTTGCTGTTCTTGAAGAGCTCACGCACTAATTGCAGGGCTGGGGTATTAGATAAATTCTTAAAGCTTAAAACAAAGTCCCCATTCTCATTACAGAGGGTAGACTGACTTTCAGAGCTGTCTGGAGCAGCTGCAAATTTGGTTTCAGAGTCAGAGTGGGGAATCTGCTTTTCTTCTTCTGTTTCTGACTGTGAGCTTTGCTCTCGAAGGGTGGACAATCTTCTTAACCTTCCTAGATGCCTGGACCTTCTTATGGTGTCCCCCGCCTTGAGAGCTCCCTTGGGTTTCTGAAGTAGTTCGTGAAAAGAGCTCTCCTGATCAGAAAGGGAATCTTCAGATTTGTCCCAGCTAAGTGAGTTAAAGCCACTGTCTTCAGGCGTTGAAGCATTCTGTTTCACTTCAGTTGGAGAAGAAAGTGATATATTTGCCTTGAATTTAATGTTTGCGACAAGATCACTTATTGGAGTTACAAATATGTCTTCATCTGTTCCACAAGTTGTTCTGCTAGCAGAGGAGTCCAGAAGTTGAGGATATGTATTCTCATCGTTAATACTTAAACTGCTGCTGCCACTATAGTCGTATGTGATAGAGTCTTTAAAACTGCTGCCCTGGATTGGGGACAGACACTCAACCTCAAATAGGCCACAGTCATCCTGGGAATCACCTACTGTGGAAGTCTTCTGCTGTGAAAAAGTATGCCTCAGTTTCTGACTGCTGGAAGTAGCTTCTTCTGGTTTTAAAGTGCTGGTAACTAAAGAACTAAAATTATTTTGCCTTGGAAACCCTGAAGCACTGTTTGGAATACTTTTTTCTTCATTGAGATCATGGCTCGCACTACTGTCCAGAAAACTATTTTGTGATTCAGAGCTCCCCTCCAGGAGAGCAAAAGATAGGTTCAATCTTCTCCGCAGCAAACATTTTTTTCTACTGATTTTTTGTGTTTCACAAAATTCTGGAGTGTTCTCCCTCTCCCTCCAAGAGGAGGCAAATCTCTTTTTTTGAGTGGGAGATGCTAACGGATATGTGAAACCAAAACTTGAACTTTCAGGGTGTTCTGGGGTTAAGGCTGTGCCTTTCTGTTTCTTTCCACAAGAATCTTTATCTGCACTACCAAATCTGCAACCTTTTAATAACTCACAATAGCCACTATCTTGAAGTGAAGGCGTGGGACAAAAATCGCTGGAGTACTTGAAAGCGACAGTGGGAGAGCCCACCTCCTCTCCTGCGTGTGTGCTGGCTTGGACCAAGTGCCTTTCCATCTTCAGAATCGGTTTCTATAAAGTAAAAACAATAGTTATTATTCTTTCTTTGGAGTAACCAGGCAGGTAACACCAAAATCCACTGTCGTAAGTACACAGGTGATAGTAGGAAGGTTTATAGCAGAAAATAATATTACTTTAAAAAGCAACTATACTCTGCCCTTCTATATGTGCTGCCATAGATATGACAATCTTGACCTAAATATTGTCTTTGAAAATGTTAAATTGATAATTCTGTTTAAACTAACATTTTTTTAAAATTGGCACATTGTATTTACTGCAAGAGATATTTTATTTCAGCATAAAGTTCTCAAAATGCATACATCTTTTTCCCTAATCTTTTTTGTTTTAAAGTACTTTTAAACGTAACTTTTTCATTTAGTAAAAGTTGTCTACTTGAAAAAAAAGCAATAATAATCTCTACTGATATATACTAATGAAAACAAATTTATGGTAAAAACCAAAACTTTAAAATTACATTCACAGATTACTTGTCTAACCATTGCCTAAGAATCATACATCATTTTTTCCTGAATTATATTTAAAGATTTTTAAAAATTGGCAACATCACTTTCATTTATTTATTTATTGCAACAATTGCTTTTAAATGAAAAACATACTGTTCATTTTTATTACCTTGCGATTTTTAACAATGCCACATTACATATTCCTTTTTAGTTTATATTTTAATTGATTTGTCAAGCTTCTGTGATGGACATAAAACTGTTGTTGTTGTTGTTGTTGTTGTTGTTGTTATGTGCCGTCGAGTCACCTGCGACTCATAGCGACCCTATGGACACCAGCCCTAAACTCTGCTCTGTCCTGTGCAAATATCAGTTTCTGACACACCCATCCCGATTACCCCAGTCACTGAATCAATCCACCTCATAGAGGGCCTTCCTCTCCTGCGCTGTCCCTCCACCCTCCCAAGCATGATGTCCCTCTCCAAGGACCGGTCTCTCCTCACAACATGTCCAAAGTATGTTAGACGGAGCCTCAGAATCCTTGCCTCCAAGGAGCCACCCAGTTTAACCCTCTCCAGGACAAATCTGTTTGTTTTCCTAGCAGTCCATGGTATTCTCAATACTCTTCTCCAGCACCACAGCTCAAAGGCATCAATTCTCCTTCTATCCTCTTTGGTCACTGTCCAACTCTCTGATGCATAAAAGGTGATTGCAAAGACCATGGCCTGTATCAGACGCACCTTAGTCTCCAAAGAGATACCATTGTTCTTCAGCACTTTGGAGAGATACTATAAGGAAAAAAAAAGAGGGGCTAAATACAACCTCCATGGAAAATGGTACGCCATTTCCTTTAAAAAGCTAGAAACAGAGATACTTTATGATCTAACAATCTCAGTACTAGACATATACCCTAAAGATCTAACAGCAGTGACATAAATACATATATGTACACAAATGTGCATTACAGCATTATTCACATACCCAAAACTAGGGAACTAGCATAAGTATCCATCAACAGCAATAGATAAGTGGATAACTATACTGCACATATACCACGCAGCTATAAAAAATTATATGTTCTAATAATCTGGATGAATGTAGAAGACATTATACTGAGTGAAATGACATTATACTGAGTGAAATAAGTCAATCAAAAAGGACAAATGAATGATTTCACTCTTATGAAAAGATAAAAACAGATTTATTTAGAAGCATCGCTCTTTTGTGGTTACCAGAAACGGGTGGAAGAAAAAGAGAGAACACTTTTAAATATTTTTGGCTATAGGAAAAGCAGTATTAAATGAAGGCTGTAAGTACAACTTGATGAAGGTAAATGACACTAAGAAATAGACAAGAATAAGGACGTTAGTAAACTGATGTTTTTATAACAATAGCAATAATAACAAAAAAGTTTAGTTACAAAGGTAGATATGTATAAGTATTGAGTAATTTCTTACCCTTAGGCCACCAAAGCTACCTATTATATATATGAGAAGGTATATGTATGTATATGCATATATATGTAGATGTGTATCTGTCGGCATATGTATGTCATATTTCACACAAATATGCACATATAACATGGTTTTCACAAATCATAACCCTCCTTGTGTGTTAGTTTCTTTTCCATGTTATGTGTGCCCTATGTATACACAGGTATATTATATGAGAAAATGCACATAATGTATACACGATTATGTGTGCTGCATATCTATTAACATATCAAATAAAGCAAATAGGAAGAACAGCTACACATACTCCTGCGATATAACCAAACACTTCATGGAATTGGTTTACTGGGTTTGAAGGCTTGGGACCATAGACTTACGACACAGTTCAATTGTTTTAATATAGTTTAAAAAGTTCATGCACTATATTATAGTTTTCTGAGTAGCATTTGGAGTCTTAAAAGTCATCAAAAATACAAAGAATGGTCCCTGATCTCTGGAGCAAAAGAGAAAGAATAAATAATTTCAAAGAAGACATTATAGTAATTACTCTATAAACTCACTTCCCAATCTAGCCTCAAACCAAAAGACTAGATGGCTCCCAACAGTGAGCACTGTAACCAGGGAAAGAAAAGATGATCCCAGAAGAAATATGAACAAAAATGCCCTTGAAAATTTTATATATATAAAATATAGAATAAAAGTTATATACTATATAATTTTAGTATATAAAAAGGTGCTATAAATAATTATATAAAATTTCATATATATTACATTGAAAAAGTCTGCTATTAGGGACCTCTCTAGAGTACTGAAGAACAGCGATGTCAGTCCAGAGACTAAGGTGCACCTGGTCCAGGCCATGGTCTTCGCAATTACTTGCTATGCATCTGAGAGCTGGACAATAACTAAGGATGACAGAAGTATTGATGCCTATGAGTTGTAGTGCTGGAGAAGAGTGGTGAACATACTGTGAACTACCAGGAGAACAAATAGGTTTGTCCTGGAGAGGGTGAACCCAGGCTGCTCCCTGGAGGCAAAGATTTTTAAGTTTCATCTCAGAAACTTTGAGCAAGTAGCCAGAAGAGACCAGTTCTTGGAGAAGGATATCATGTTGGAAGGGTAGAAGGACAGTGCAGGAAAAGAAGACCCAGGACGAGATGGGTTGACTCAGGGACCAGAGAAACAGGATTAGGTCTGTTAGAGATGATGAGATTGGCTCAGGACAGGGCAGGGTTCAGAGCTGATGGAGATGTACACAGGGCCACTATGATTTGCATGGGAACTGATGGCATATAACAACATGTGGGTCTGTCTGTATAGGTTGATGGCCTAGTGGTAAAAAGTTGCACTGCAATCCTGAAGGCATGCAATTTGAATTCACCAGCTGCTCTACGGCAAAAGGATGGACAATCTCCTCCTGTGTGATTCACTGCTTCTGAAAACCAGCTAGAGGGTCATGGAGAGTCAGCTATGGGTCAGTTACAACTCAGTGGTACTTAACAACAACAAACATTGAGATACACAGACAGACAGAGAGAGAGAGAGATAGATATAGATAGATATATAGATATAGATGCCTTACTGGACTAGTAGAAATTAAGAGAAATATCTGAATTGTGAAATTGTACTTAACAATAACAATTTGTGGGGAAATTCACACGTTATGATAGTTCTGAAATTATAAATGAAAATTCAAATTAATTACTTAAAGAAGTATTACTCAATAGTTTTATAAGAGTAACAAATGATGCTAAGATGCTTCTTTTTTAGTGATTTGAATGAAATTTTAAAAGCAGTTAACATAGGGATCATGTTAGTTTCTTAATTTCTCTAGATTATTCAATTAAAATAGATTAGAAGTGAGAAAATAGATTATTCTTTCAAAATTTTTTTCAGGCCAAATAGTCCATGTTTGTTTGTTTTTCTATCATCCTGGAATGATATACTGTAGTTAAGCATTATGGGAAAATTATTTATCTTTTTTTTTAAATTTTTTAATTTTTTTTGTGTGTGTGCATGTACCGTCAAATCAGATCTGACTGGTAGAGGAGGAAATTGTCCCTCCTTCTCCGGCAGAGCATCTGGTGGATTCGAACTGTGTACCTTTGGAATTGCAGTACAGCTTCTTGCCACTAGGCCTCCAGAGCTCCCCTTTATCTTTAAAGTGCATCAATCCAATGTTGTGGTTGTTGACTGCCTTCGAGGTCGAGCTCGACTCATAGTGACCCTATGAACAAAAGGCCTGAAGCCCTTCTGCACCTATCAACATTTATCAATCCAACATGAGTGGATATTTACTTTTACTATAATAACTATAAAAATTATTCTTCATGATATAATTATTATTTTTAACTGGGCAATGAATCTAAGCCAAACATTTCTCGATCTTTTACACTTACACATCTTATTGGTAAATCTCATACATGTCCTTCTGATCTACATACAGATTTTGAGAATCACTGCTTTCTTACACACATAGTTAAGTGCCAAGATTACTCCAGTTTTTCTACAATTTGTATTGACCTGAAGCACCTGCTGCAGAGTGTCAAGGACTGCAGCCTGCAATATGGATTGAGGCTCAATGTCAAGAAGACAAAGATTCTCACCACTGGACCAA